CAACGGTAGTAGTGGTAGTAGCAGTAGTAGTAGTAGTAGTAGTAGTAGTGGTAGTAGTAGTAGTAGTAGTAGTAGTAGTAGTAGTCGTAGTAGTAGTAGTGGTGGTGGTGGTGGTAGTAGTAGCAGTAAAAGTAGCAGTCGCAATCGTGACTGCAGCAGTAGTAGGGGCAGCATCAGCAGCAGCCGCACTAGTAATACTCGTATTCGTACTAGTAGTAGGAAGAGTAGAATAGCAGTAGTAGTAGCAGTAGTAGCAGTAGCAGTAGTAGTAGTAGTAGTAGTAGTAGTAGTAGTAGTAGTGGTAGTAGTAGTAGTAGTAGCCGTAGTAGTAGTAGTAGTAGTAGTAGTAGTAGCAGTAGTAGCGGTAGTAATCGTAATAATAACAACGGTAATGCTAGCAGGCGCAATATCACTCCTAGCCGTTATAGTAGTAGTCGCCGTCGTAGTAGTATTCGTATTCAGAGCAGTAGAAGTAGTAGGAGTGGTCGTAGTAATCGTAGTCATAGTGATAATGATAGTAGCCTTCGTAGTCTTATTATGAATGGCAGTCGCAGTAGTAGCAGTGGTCGCAGTAGTAGTCGTCGTAGTCGTCGTCGTCGTCGCCGTAGAAGTACTATTAGTAGTAATAATCGTAATATTAGTGGTGCCTGTAGTAGTAGTAGTAGTAGAAGTAGTAGTAGTAGCAGTAACAGTATCAGTAACAATAGCAATAATAATAGTCGCAGCAGCAGCAGTAGTAGCAGTATTAGTAGTAACCGTAGTAGTAGTAGTAGTAGTAGTAGTAGTAGTAGTAGTGGTAGAAGTAGTAGTAGTAGTAGTAGTAGTAGTAGTAGTAGTAGTAGTAGTAGTAGCAATCGTAGTCGTAGTCGTAGTCGTAGTCGTAGTCGTAGTAGTAGCAGTAGCAGTAGCAGTAGTAGTAGTAGTAGTAGTAGTAATAATCGTAGTAGTAGTAGTAGTAGTAGTAGTAGTGGTAGGAGTAGTAGTAGTAGTAGGAGCAGCAGTAAAAGTAGTGGTAGTAGTAGTCGTCGTAGTAGTGGTAGTAGTAGTAGTAGTAGTAGTAGTAGTCGTAGTAGTAGTAGTAGTAGTAGTAGTAGTAGTAGTAGTAGTAGTAGTAGTAGTAGTAGTAGTAGTAGTAGTAGTAGTAGTAGTAGTAGTAGTAGTAGTAGTAGTAGTAGTAGTAGTAGTAGTAGTAGTAGTAGTAGTAGTAGTAGTAGTAGTAGTAGTAGTAGTAGTAGTAGTAGTAGTAGTAGTAGTAGTAGTAGTAGCAGTAGTAGTAGTAATAGTGGTCGTAGTAGTTGCTTTAGTAACAGAAGTAATACTACTAGCCGTAGTAGTCGTACGGCTCCGAGAATGCCCCAATGGGGCAAAGATCGTCACAGCTCCCTGGATGAGAGCAGATGTTGGGCATGTTCGCCGTATCGGCCCTAAGAGCGTTCAAAAGGCCCAGAAGAGCGCCCCAAGACATGGCGAGAGGCCTCCAAGGTGGCCCCAAGATGGCCCCCAAACGGCACAACTGGCGCCCAAGAGTGCCTAAGAGGACTCCCGAGACAGCCCCAGGTTTCGGCAGAAGCCCCCAGGAGGCACCACAACGGCCCCCGGAGGCCCCAAAGAACAACCAAAAAACTTCCGAACGGCCCACCAATGGGCCCAACAGGCCCCAAACGTGCCTCCAAGAAGATCCCCAGAAGCCCCACACGAAACCACAAGAAGCATGAAAGAGGCCTCTGACCCACAAACCAGGATAGGGGGCGGGATGGGCTGACCAGCATCACCATAGCAATAATCAGCCTCAGCATTACCATGGCAAGCCTCCCCCTCCTCATCACCATCACCACCACATACATCATCATCGTGATCACCCTCATCATTTAGCACAGTTTCCCTCCTCCTCCTCCTGTTCCTTATTGCCTCTCCATTTCCTCTATCCGCTACTCCTCCTCAAGCCTCCTCCTCATCTTCCCCTCCTGCTGCTGCTGCTCCTCCTCATCCTCATTGTTATCTTCTTCCTCATCCTCCTCATCCTCCTCCTCCTTCTCCTCATCCTCATCGTTCTCATCCTCATCATCCTGCACATTCTCCCATCATGTTGCTGCTCCTTCTCCTCCTCCTCCTCCTCGTCCTCCTCGTTCTCATCCATCTCATCCTCATCGTTCTCTTCCTCATCCCGCTCGTCCCTCGTCCCCACCACCATCATCATCAGCATCATCATCGTCATCATCATAATCATCATCCTCATCACCACCCTCGTCCCCTTCGATCGCCTCAATCATCCTCCTGCTCTTCCCCTCCTCCTCCTCCTCCTCCTCCTCCCTTCCTCCTCCTCCTCCTCCTCCTCCTCCTCCTCCTCCTCCTCCTCCTCCTCTCTCCTCCTCCTCCTCCTCTCTCCTCCTCTCCTCCTCCTCCTCCTCCTCCTCCTCCTCGTCATCATCATCATCATCATCATCATCATCATCATCATCATCATCATCATCATCATCATCATCATCATCAGCATCATCATCAGCATCAGCATCAGCATCAGCATCATCATCATCATCATCATCATCATCATCATCATCATCATCATCATCATCATCATCATTATCAGCATCATCATCTTCCTCATCCCGCCCGTCGCCCTCGTTCGAACCAATCCTTCTCCTACTCATCACCGTCGTCCGCATCAGTATTCCTCCTCCACTTCCTCTCATGCTCTTCCTTCCCTCTCCCGCTCCTTATCCTCGTCCTTATCCTCATCATCCTCATCCTCATCGTCATTGGCATCACCACCGTCGCCATCGTCATCATCATCGTCATCATCATACATCATTACAATCATTAGCATAGTCGCCATTAGCAGCAGCATCAGCATCATAATCGCAATCAGCATCATCAGCATCATCAGCAGCAGCATCATCATCCTCATCATCCTCGTCCTCCTCATCCTCGTCCTCCATATCCTCTCACTCCCCCCTGGCCAACGAAAGTCGCTAAGGATGGGCCGAAGGGGCAAGGATGCAAGGGCACTATTGGGAAAGTTGCCCATCCTTACTATTCGGGTTGACTGTACCCCAAGCGGCGGCGCGCGCGGGAGAGAGCCCGACGACGACGACGACGACGATGACTGACGAAGACGATCGTCGTCGTCGTCGTCGTCGTCCCCCCCCTCCTCCTCAATTTCCTCCACCTCCTCCTTGGCGGCGGCGCGCGCGTGAGAGAGAGAGCGACGACGACGACGACGACGACGTGACGCCCACTGGCCCCTCGAGGCCCGTTTCGTTCTCTGGCCCCTGGCAGCCCGTTCTCTGAAATCGAGCCGGGGAAAAACGCATAAACAAAAAAACGGGGGGCGAGACTGCCGTAATCAAGTGCCCTCGCGTGGGCATCGTCTCTGCATGGGCTGGTGGGCATACTCGAAGCGCCAGTAAGTTTCCCAGACACCGCTTGCATTTCAGGGCCATTTGGTCTCTTATGGACGCTACATGATAATTTTGATGGGCACGCATGATGTGGTGATTGGGTTTTCGTGTTTGGGGTTTGGGGGGGTGTTTGGGGCGTGGTCTTTTGTGTTTGTGGTTTGGGGTTTAGGGTTTGGTGTTTGGTGTTTGGGGTTTGGTGTTTAATGTTCGGGGTGTGGTATTTGAAGCTTGGGGTTTGGGGTTTGGTGTTTGGGGTTTGGTGTTTGGGGGCGGGGTGTTTGGTGTTTGGGGTTCCGTGTGTTTGGGGTTTGGTGTTTGGGGTTTGGGGTTTTTGTTTGGGGGGCGGGGTGTTTGGTTTTTTGGGTTTGGTGTTTTGGGTTTGGTGATTGGGGTTTGGTGTTTGGCGTTTGGGGCGTGGTGTTTGTAGTTTGGTGTTTTGGGTTCGGTGTTCGGTGTTTTGGGTTTGGGGTTTGGTGTTTGGTATTTGCGGTTTGGCGTTTGTGGATTGGTGTTTAGGGTTTGGTGTTTGGGAATTGGGGTTGGGGTTTGGTGTTGGGTGTTTGGGGTTTGGGGTTTGGTGTCTAGTGTTTGGGGCTTGGTGTTTGGGGTTTGATGTTTGGGGTTCGGTGTTTGGGATTTGGTGTTTGGGGTTTGGGGTTTGGTATTTGGGGTTCCGTGTTTGGGGTTTTGTGTTTGGGCGTTGATATTTGGGGTTTGGTATTTGCGGTTTGGCGCTTGTGGATTGGAGTTTAGGGTTTGGTGTTTGGGAATTAGGGTTGGGGTTTGGCGCGTGGTGTTTGGGTGTTGGCGTGCTTTTTTTTCTTGCGGGGGGCGAACCCTCAAAAGTCTCGCCCGGAGAACCAACCGACTCGGCATCTGGCCTTGTCCACCCGGAGAACCAACCGATTCCCCGGGGAACCAACCCTTTTCCCGGAGAGCCATTTTTTACCTTCTGCAAGGGCTCCCAACTTCGCGCTTCGCGCTGCGCGAAGCGCGAAGTGCGAATAACTTCGCGCTCTCGCGCCGCCTCCCAGGGGAGAAGAGGAGGGTGAGGAGGAGTCGGAGCCGAACCGCGAAGCGCGAAGAACTTCGCGCCCTCGAGGGCGCCCTTGCTTCTGTGGGTCCCGGAGGGCCATCGGGGGGCAAGACATTTCAGTGGGCCACCTGCTGGCGAGCGGGTCTCTTACTTGAGGTGTGCCCACTGCGATCGCGCTGGCAGGGCGGGGCTCAAACCAACCTCCGACACACTCGATCCTCACGGCGCCCCCAGCGAGGAGGAGGAAGAAGGAGGAGGAGGAGAAAGAGGAGGGAGGAGGAAGGAGGAGGAGGAAGGAGGAGGAGGAGGGGGAGGAGGAGGGGGAGGAGGAGGGGGAGGAGGAGGAGGAGGGAGGAGGAGGAGGAGGAGCCCGTCGAGGCACCATGCCTTTTTGAGGTGGCCAAGGCCGTGCCGCCCCACTCGCTCAGCACCGGGCCGCCCGCCGTCGCGGGGCGCGGCCCGGGGAGTCGGCCGGCGGCTCGAAGGTGGGGCCCCGGGCGCTTCGGGGGCCCCGCTCGGCGGCACACGCCCCGGGGGGGAAGGCGGCGGGAGCGGAGCGGGCAAGCTCAGAAGCCTCGAGGGGGAAGGCAGAGGGAGCGGAGCGGAGCGAGGAGGAGGAGGAGGAGGAGGAGGAGGAGGAGGAGGAGGAGGGAGGAGGAGGAGGAGGAGGAGGAGGAGGAGGAGGAGGAGGAGAAGGAGCGGAGCGGAGCGGAGCACGCTCAAGGGGAAGGCAGAGGGAACGGAGCGGGCAATCTCAGAAGGCGCAGAGTGTTTCGGGCCTTCTGGGAGGCCTTCCACAGAGGCCCGCTCCGAAGGGCGCGGGCGGCTCCTCGGAGGGCGGGAGGGCCTCCGAGGAGCCCCGCCGCCTTCGGAGGCCCTGCAGTCATCGTGCCACGGTGGGGGGGCATTGGATGAGGAGCCCTTCGACAAGGAATCCATGGTCTGGAGGCCCGTGGAACTCCAACCGAGGCCTGGCCACGGACATCACCGCCGCCCTCCTCCAGCAAGGAATCACCCGGGGTCTGCAGCCTCCTGGCCACACTCCTTGATCAACGCCCTCGCCGTGCCGAGGGGAGCGCCAAAAGCAAGAGGCGGCGGGGGCCTTCTGGCAGGGGCGGGCCTCGGGCACGAGGAGATCCCCCGACCCGGCTCTGAGGAGCGGCTCGAAGGCCGGCGCCCCTCCTCGACCCCTCCTCGGCCCCTCCTCGACCCCTCCTCGACCCCTCCTCGACCCCTCCTCGACACCTCCTCGACCCCAAGCACATCTTGACTGTGACGATAAGAAGGGATCCCAGGCCGAGCTCACGCAGGGCCCCGCCGTGCTGTAGGAGCACCGTGTCCCGGGAGCTCTCCGCGGAGCTCCGGAGATCTACGTGCGTGCCGTGTGCTCTTCTTCGGCGTAGGGATGGGAAGGGACCCCCGGCTGTACTTTCGCTGTCTGGTGCTCCCCGTGCGTGCCGCCGAGAAACAAGGGCCAGGCTGGAGGCCTCCTCGATGGGGTCCGAGAAAATCGGGTCGGGGGATCTCGCCGCATCGCCGATGCATCGGCGATGCATCGCCGATGCATCGGCGATGTATCGGCCATGCACTGGCGACGTCGGCGATACATCCGCGACGTCGGCGCGGAGAAAATTGGGCCCCACATCGAGCCGCATCGCCGATGCATCGGCGATGCGGCGCGATCCTCCGACCCCATCTACTCCGACCCCTTCTTGGAGGCCTACAGTCGGACTTGATTGGAGAGGACACGCGAGAGGACAAGAGACCCTTTCCGAGGGGCACGCTGCCACAGGGATGCAGGAGGCATGGGTCGCGAGACACAGAACACAAGGGTACCCTCGACTTGGCAGGGTCGACCTACTAATCCAGGCCGACTGTAGAGTGCCGCCGCACAACATACGGGGCGTGAAAACGACCACAGCCACTGCTTTTCTTTTGTTGCCGCCTTCCAGCCCGCAGAAACAAAGCAGTGGCTGTGGTCATTTTCCTTGAGCTTGGCACCACGGAAATGACCACAACCACTGCTTCTTTTTCGGCCGGCTCGAAGGCGGCGCAAACAAGAAGCAGTGGCTGCGGTCATTTTCTGACTACCTACCAGACCACCCCAACCCAACCCGAAGGCCCGAATTTCGGGTTGGGGGGGGTAAGGGTTCCATACGTGTTTTTTCGACGTTCCCGGACCCCCCCCCACTAGAAATCGAGGGTAAATCTGAACCTTCGGGTTGGGTTGGGGTGGTTTGGTGGGTGGTCGTTTTCCCGTCCCGCACAAGAAGAGCCAGGCATGCCTCTCCTGCGTGGCCCAGGCGCACGCCGAGCGCGCCCCGGGCGAAGGGCTCCAGGCCGGACGACCGGCCCACGGCCGGTGCGAGCTTCCCAAGGCTCGCCGAGGCAGCTCGGCGCAGCGACCGCGCAGAAGGGAATGCCGCGCGGCCCCAACTCGGCGGTGGACAAACCTCCCCTCCTCCTCCTCCTCCTCCTCCTCCTCCTCCTCCTCCCCCTCCTCCTCCTCCTCCTCCTCCTCCTCCTCCTCCTCCTCCTCCTCCACTAGGGGAACAAAAAGTGGCATAAACGTAAAAACTCGGAGGTCCGCGCGGACTTCTCGCATCGGCGCAGGGCCGGAGCGCGCCAGGGGCGGCGCCGGAGGCGCCGCCAGGGGGGCCCAGCGCCGATCCGAGAAATCCGCGCGGACCTCCGAGTTTTTCGGCGGTGGACAAACCTCCCTTCAGTAGACCTCCCCGTAGTGAAAGCGGCCTGGGGCCGAACCCGACGCACCTGGACTCGCAAACATGACGGCCGCGACGCCCTCTCGCGAACCGAAAACGGCCAATTCCTCAATGAACGTGTCAGGGTAGGAGGTCTGTCCGCCCCCGACCAGCGAGAAAGGATCCACCGGGGCCCCACCTTCGAGCGGCCGAGATCGAAGGGCCCCCTGCCGCCGCAGAGTGAGGAGGCCCGCCGAGTCGGGCTTCTGCGCGCCCGTCGGCGGCGCCAGGATAGGAACAAAAAAAAAGCGGCGCGCCAGGGGGGGGGATAGTTGGAACAAAATAAAAAAGCGGCGCGCCAGGCGGGGGGATAGTGAGGAGGCCCGCCGAGTCGGGCTTCTGCGCGCCAAGGCGGCGCCAGGATAGGAACAAACCAGAAAAAGCGGCGCGCCAGGAAGGACCGAGCTGGTGGTCAGCTCGATGGGGGGCTGGTGCTGTCTGCCTGCGCAAGCACAGGCTGCGCATCCAGGCAGGAGCACCATTTCGAGATCAGCACGGCGGCTGGCCAGTTCTGCACACGGTCCACGCGGGGTCCCCGCGCCGCCAACCACAATTTGGAAATACGAGCTGGTGCTTCTCGGCGGCGAGCTCGGGGGGGAGCGAGAAGGAGAAGGCCCTCTCAGAAAGCGGCGGGACTTCTCAGAAGCCCTCGCGCCTTCTGAGAAGTGCTCTCTGCCATCGGGGAAAGCTGAGAACACTTCCCAAGGGCCGATGGATTTCCAAGCCTTCTGGGAAGGCCTTCTCCTTCTCCCCCCCGAGCTCGCCGCCGAGATTAGGAATTTAGGCTTCGTACACTGACCCAACCACCAATGAATGTCCCGGCCACCTTTCTCTGGCCATCGCTTGGACGTCCATTCCCTGTGTTTTTTCGGTGTCGTGCGTGTTTTGTTCTGCAGGATGATCCAGGACGCTCCTTAATAATCCCCGCCGAGAAAAAGTGCACACGTCCGAGCGATACCAAGTTCTGGAAAAAACCAAAATGAAGTGGGAGGGGGCGGGCCTTCTCAGCAGGCGGCGGGACTTCTCAGAAACTCTCTGGCCTTCCGAGAGGCCGTCTCTGAATCGTCGTGAAGGGTTGGGGAGCGTCTCAGAAAGCTGGGTGCCTTCTCGGCATCCTGCGCGTGCCGCCGATCATGGCGCGCGCCGCCCACCAACGAGCGCCAAGGAGGTGGCGGCATAACCCTTCCGTGGTCCCACGCGCACTCCGAGGGCGTCTGGGGTGGGGCGCGGGGGCTTCCCCTCGTGGGGGGCGCCTTGCCGTGGGTGGAGCCTCGGTCCCCTTTCTGCTCGCCCGCCGCTGATCTCGTCGCGCGCCGAGCGCGATCGATCGATGGACAGTCCCGAGGCCCGAGCTGGACCTGCCAACGATCGTGCACACCGTGCGGGCTCAAAGCTATAGCAGGCATGCGACTTTGGGTAGTCTGTGCGCAGTCGTCAGGATCAGACAGCCTAAAAGACGGTGCAGCACTGCTCGGACTTTGCTCTGGTAGCTTTCTCCTGGTCGCTCGGCCTCCTCGACCTGGCTGTCGCTTTTCTGCTGTCGTCGCGCTGCACATGGTGATCGACGACTGCTGCGGCGATTTCATGATGCTTGCTATGCGTCTCGGGGTGCGTCATATACGCGAAGAACTCATCGTATGAGATTTGACCGTCATTCGCCATGCCTATTTCGGCCAGTATGCGCTCTACCTCTGACTGCTCGAATGCGTCGCCCAACACCGTCTTCAAGTTACCGCCGGAGATGTAGCCGCTGTTGTCCACGTCGAAGCGCTTGAACGTTTTCAAGATCAGATCGTCGTGCATCTTTATTCGACAACCAGCCATGGCGGCCAAGAATTCGGAGTAGTGGATCTCATCCTGATTGTTGTAATCGATAGCCTCGAAAGCTGCCGAGGCATGCTCGTCATCAACGTGAAATTTATCCAGCATCACCTTCTTGAACTCGCTGAGGCTGATGGTCCCTGACCTGTCCGTGTCCATCTCTATGAATGCGTCGCGCACCTGGGCGCGCTCCTCGTTGGTCAAGGACCAAGCCATCATGTTCATCGCGGCTCGCCTGGAGGGGAACTCGGCAGAAGAGGAGCAGCATCAAGGGAAGAGGGATGATGATGATGATGATGATGATGATGATGATGATGATGATGATGATGATGATGATGATGATGAGGATGAGGATGAGGATGATTAGGAGGAGGAGGAGGAGGAGGAGGAGGACGAGGGCAAGAAGGACCGGCAGGTGTTGTCGTAGCTCGCCTGAAGTGGGATGCCTGGGCGAAACTGCTCAGGGCGTCGACGGTCGCCTGGTCGATCTCGTGGTCGCGCGTGAAGACGTCGTCGCGCTTCTTGATCCACGGGGTCTCCAACGCCTGGGCAGCGCTGAGCCTCGCCGTGGGGTCGACCACGAGCAGCGACTCGACGAAGTGCTGGGCCTCCGACGAGACCTTCTTCCACTCCCTCTCCTTCCGGCTGTACCTGCCCTGTCGGATCAGCCTGACCTGGGTCTCCTCCGAGCCGGAGAACGGCATGTACCCGAACAGCAAGATGAACACCGTGACCCCCAGGCTCCACATGTCGCACTTGCTGCCGTAGCTCTTGCCCAAGACCTCGGGCGCGACGTAAGACAGCGTCCCACAGCTGAGCTGCATCTTGGTGTTGGGCTTCCAGATCTTCGAGAAGCCAAAGTCTATGAGCTTCAAGTGTTTCGATCCCTCCTTCTCGTACAAGAAGTTCTCCAACTTGATAGCCGCCGACCCCCTTGGGAGTCGCCAAGCGTGTGAGCCTCCCCCCTGTGCACGTCGGCCGGAGGAAGCGGGTATACGAATGAATCAGGACATCGTTTGACGTGTCTTAGGTGTCCTCCTGGCGGTTCGAGATGGGGGCTCCTCGGTAAACGCGCGCGCGGCTCAGTGGGAGGGCCGTGGGTGCTGCCAGCCCAGTTGCGAACTGGCGGTCGGCGGGGGCGGAGCGTGCAGGAACGTGGAGGGCGGGAGGGAGGGAGGGAGCGCGCGGCTCGAACCAGGGGCGCATCCGTACTGAAGCTGGGTCCAAATGGCTACAGCGTCGAGTGCGATGGCCATGGCACACTGTGACCCATTCGCCCGCTGCCCGCGCAGCTGCGCAACATGACCGAGCGAACGCCCGCGGCCTCAAGGCGAGAACCATGTTTTGAAAGGGAACCGCCGCCCCTCCAGGAAAACTCGTTCAACAGAATCGGCCTGCAACGCTCATGGGGGGGTCTTCGCGAAACCTGGAAAATGTGGTCAACTAGGTCCTGCCATTGGCCTCGTCTTGAACCGCTTGTCTCTACCATTCGACGTGTCCCCCCCTTCTCCCAGACACTGTTTCTGCTCTTCTATTTGGGGGCCAGGGGTGAAGATACCGCCGTGCAGAGTATCGAGGGGAGGGGACAGAGGAGAGATGAAAAAAGAAAGGAGAGAGGACGAGAGGGGAGAGAGAGAGAGAGAGAGAGAGACGAGGAAAGAGTGGACACAGAGGAGAGAACGAGGAGACAAAGCGGGAGAGAGGGATTATAACAGAGAGGGAGGGGGAGAGATACGAGTGTTTTCTGGGGCCCCACGTTCTGCGAACGATCACCACGCCTGAGATGGCTTCGAATGTTATGGCACTGACCTTAGTGGGCCCCGGAAACGGCAGGGCCGTTTTTTCACCGTTTCCGAAAAAGCGTCCCTTGGAAATGAAAACGGCTAAAAAACGGCGACCGGAAGCGGCAACAAAAACGGCTCCAGGATTGGAATTGGAGCGGGAATCCGTAAAAGAACGGCGACGGAACCGGTAAAAAAACGGCGTCGGAACCGGCAAAAAACAGCAAAACGGAACCGGTAAAAAAAAGCCCTGTCGTTTCCAGGGCCCACTACGGCACCGACGCTCTCGGCTAGCGCCTGTCGCACGGAGAGGTGGCAATGATTACGAGGACGTCGGATGGCTTTGAGCAAATGCTCTCGCCATCAGCGCCGCGCGGGCTCGGCTTTAACCATGTGCATCAGCTGTCGTTGTAGACGCGCGTGCATGCGATCAATACCCTCTTCTGAAAATTGGCGCAACCTCTTGAAAGGGTCTATGACTTGAAGTGCGGAGATGGCATCTTTAAACGTTTTGGAAGCCTTTTTGGCGCTTTGAAGCTAAACCGGAGCCTAGCCGACATCGCCTTGCTAATCATAGACAGCACCAAAATTTGCAGTCAGATTCGTCATCACAGAATTCGGCTACAGCGCCGCAAATGCACCACATGAAGTGGCCCCTCACACATTGCGCCTCATCAGTTGCACCTCATGCGCTGCGCCCCGTATATCCACAGAGTCGAAATTTGCGGGTTACGAGCTGGTATCATCGTGCTTTCCATGGTTTTCGTCCCACGGTTAGCGTAGGAGTGCTCAGCAAGCTGGCCTCAAGACGGCCTCAAAGTGGGCCATTATAATGTCCCCGAGACGGCTGAAGATGGTCCCGAGAGGGCCCCAACTGAACCAAGGTGGGGCCAAGGCAGCCCAAAAGGCCGCAAAGACAACCCCAGACGGCTCCCAGGGGGTGCCAGGACGGCCCAGGAGGGCTCTTGAAGGGCCCCCGGATGGCCCAAGAGGTCTCCCAAAGAGCCCCGAGTCAGCCTGGGCCCCGAAATGCCCTGGTACTCATTTCGAAATCTCTCCCTCCCCCTACTCTCTTTAGCTCTCCCCTGTATCAATTCTCCTCCTCGTCTTCCTCGATGTCGCCGTCCTTGTACTCCGTCACGTTTTCTTCTCCCCATACTTCTGATTCGTTTCAATCGACGTCTGTCGTGGTCAACCCCAGAACCAGACAAATTAAGGAGTCGGTTAATTAGGCGTCAGCCTTATGCATCTCGGTGGACCACATTTGCTTGATGGAGATAGTTCAGCGCGAGCAGCATCTGCCAAGCGGTGTCGCAAGCATCCTTCTCCGTAAAGCGCTTCTCTTTGAGTACTCGCTTGAACACCTCGCCGCCAGACATGCACTCCATCACTAAATTCAACACTTCGGGCTGCTCGTACACGTCTGTAAGACGCGCCACATGAGGATGGTCCATGCCGAGGAAAATCTCACACTCGGACTCGAGCTCATCTCTCTTTTCTCGGTTGATGCCAGATAACTTGAAGGGCTTGACCGCGTACTCCTCACCTGTATCCCTTCTCTTTGCAAGGTAGACCGCGCCATTGTAGCCCTTGCCCAGGACTTGTGCCTTGAGGGGCTCGTAGTCATCCTCCAAACTCTTGGGTAACCTGTTCACCAGGAGCCGAACCCCGACATCCGAAATTTTGGTTTCAATCCTGGCGT